GCGGTTATCCAAAAGAAGTTACCACCCAAATGCAAGGACCCAGGAATCTTTGCCATCCCTTGCACTATTGGTGATTTGCATGTCGAAAGTGCCATGTTAGATCTTGGAGCCTCAATAAATGTGATGCTATACTCGCTTTTTCAATCTCTCAATTTTGGACCTTTGGAAGAAACCTGAGTGATAATTCAATTAGCGGACAAGTCAAGTGTATTTCCAAGGCGCGTGTTGGAAGATGTACTAGTGCAAGTCAATCAATTAGTATTTCCTGCAGACTTCTATGTCATTGACCTTGAAGAGAAGACTCCGTCCAAGTCATCTATGATTCTTCTTGGAAGACCCTTCATGAATACCGCTCACATGATTATTGATGTCCATAATGGGAAGATCACCATGGAGTTCGATGGAGAGACTATTCACTTCAACATCTTTGAAGCAATGAGGTACCCTAGCAATATTTCTCCATTGTATCGGGTCGATGTGATTGAACCAATCACCCAACAACTATTCGAGTTATCATATGGATATATTTTGAAGATGGTGCTCAACTTGAGTCTTGATTGTGAAAGTTTGAAGAAATTTGGACATGTATACATTGGATTCCGAAGTTGAAGAGATTGTGAAGACTTTAGAAGTTAATAATTCAACAAAGAAAGATGTTTCTCAAGTTTCCTTATCTCATTCTCCAAACAAGATGCCCCCTTCCATAATCCAACCACCCACACTTGAATTGAAAGTTTTGCCTAGCCATTTGAAGTATGCTTATCTAGGCCACAACGAAACTCTCTCGGTGATCATTTCTTCTCAATTGAAAGACTTTGAGGAAGATCAATTGGTTGAAGTATTGAAAGATCATAAAGAGGACATGGGGTGGACAATCACGGACATCAAGGGGATAAGTCCTAATATATGCACTCACAAATCCTCATGGAAGACGATTGTAAGCCTAGGTGGGAAGCTTAAAGATGATTAAACCCTCCAATGATGGAAGTGGTCAAGAAAGAGATAATTAAGCTCCTTGATGCGGACATGATTTACCCTATTTCCGACTCCAAATGGGTTAGTCCAGTTCAAGTGGTTCCCAAGAAAACGGGAATCACAGTTGTTGAAAACAACAAGGGCGTAATGGTACCCACTCGAGTTCAAAATGGATGGAGTGTGTGCATTGATTATAGAAAGTTGAATTCCAGCACGCGAAAAGATCATTTTCCCCTTCCTTTCATCGACCAAATGCTCGAGCGATTGGCGGGCAAGTCGAATTATTTTTGCCTTGATGGATACTCGGGTTTTCATCAAATACCCGTTGCCCCCGAAGATCAAGACAGGACGACTTTTACATGCCCTTTTGGCACGTTTGCCTACAAGCGGATGCCATTCGGATTATGCAATGCCCCCGCCACATTCCAACGATGCATGGTGAGCATCTTTTCCGAGTATGTAGAGAATATAATTAAGGTGTTCATGGATGACTTCATCGTATATGACAATTCGTTTGATGAATGCTTGGATAACCTTAAGAAGATTTTGAAACGGTGCATTGAGAAGAAGTTGGTGTTTAACTTTGAGAAGTGTCACTTCATGGTCAATCAAGGCATCATATTGGCACACATTGTCTCCAAAAAGGGAATTGAAGTTGATAAAGCCAAAATTGATGTCATATAAAGCCTTCCTTACCCAACATGTGTTAGAGAAGGGAGATCTTTCTTGGGCCATGCGGGATTCTATAGAAGATTTATCAAATATTTCTTGAAGATCACGCGACCAATGTGCATCCTTCTTCAAAAACATGTTGACTTTGACTTCAATGTAGCATGTCAAGAGGCCTTTGACAAACTTAAAGATTTGCTCACCTTTACTCCAATAATTCAACCTCCAAATTGGGAGCTTCCTTTTGAAATCATGTGCGATGCGAGCAATTTTGCCATTGGAGCAGTTTTATGTCAAAAGGAAGGCAAAGCATCTCATGTCATTTACTATGCCTCCAAAACCTTGGATAATGCTCAAGCCAATTATTCCACCACCAAGAAGGAACTTCTAGCCATTGTTTTCGCCTTGGAGAAATTCCGGCAATAGCTTCTCGGAATGAAAGTGATTGTATACTCCGACGATGCGGCCTTGAAGTATATAATGACCAAGAAAGATGCCAAGCCACGGTTGATTCGATGGATTCTTCTTTTACAAGAATTTGATCTTGAGATAAAGGACAAAAGTGGTGCTGAAAACCTAGTTGCGGACCACTTAAGTCGGTTGAATATTGGTGGATCATCTTCTTCCATCCTTGATGAATTTCCGGATGAACACCTCTTCTACATCTCCAACACAATTCCATGGTATGCAGATATTGTGAATTATTTGGTTACTAAAGAAATTCCACACGCATTTACAAAGTACCAAAAGTCCAAGTTGAAGAGTGATTCCAAATACTACGTATGGGACGACCCTTATCTTTGGAAACACTGTCCGGATCAACTAATACGGAGGTGTGTTCACCAAAATGAGGTCGAGTCTATCTTTAAGTTTTGCCACGAGTATGCATGCGGAGGACATTTCGGTCAAAACAAAACCATGCGAAAGGTGCTCGGATGTGGACTCTATTGGCCAACAATGTCAAGAGATACTTATATATTTTGCAAGAGTTGTGATAGATGTCAAAGAATGGGAACCATTTCCATGAAGAACGAAATGATTCAAAGCCCCATCCTCATTTGTGAGATCTTTGATGTATGGGGAATCGATTTCATGGGCCCTTTCCCCGTCTCTTTCGGATATACTTATATCCTCTTGGCGGTTGATTACGTCTCAAAGTGGGTGGAAGCAAAGGCTACAAGGCATGATGATTCTAAAACTGTAATTGACTTCTTGAAGTCAAACATTTTCGCAAGATATGGTGTACCGAGAGCTTTGGTGAGTGATAGGGGAACTCATTTTTGCAATAAAATGATGGAAGCCATGATGAAGAGATATGGTGTCACACACCGGATATCAACCGCTTATCATCCACAAACAAACGGCCAAGCCGAAGTGTCAAATCGAGAAGTCAAACAAATTCTGGAAAAGACGGTCAACACTACACAAAAAGATTGGAGCTTGAAGTTAGAAGATGCATTGTGGGCGTATAGAACCGCCTATAAAACTCAAATTGGCATGTCTCCATTTCGCCTCGTCTATGGAAAGTCTTGTCATTTACCGGTGGAATTGGAACACAAAGCATATTGGGCGGTTAAAAAGTGTAACTTCAATATCGAAGAAACCGGGAAGCACCGAAAGATGCAACTTCAAGAAATCGAAGAGTTGAGGAACGAGTCTTATGAAAATGCAAGCATCTACAAAAACAAGACAAAAGCATTTCACGACAAGCACATCACTCGAAAGCATTTTATTCCGGGGCAATAAGTTCTTCTTTATCATTCACGCTTAAAGCTATTCCTGGGAAAGTTGAGGTCTAAATGGCACAAACCTTTTATTGTTATTAAAGTGTTCGAACACGGTGCAGTTGAAATTAAGAGTTTGGAAACAAATCAAATATTTAAAGTGAATGGGCACCGACTGAAACCATTTTATGAAGGCTTCGACACGGGAGAATTTGATAACGTAACATTGGAAAGCCCGATTTACGAAGGTTAACGGAAGCGGCATAATGTCTTGGCAAAGATATTAAATAAATGCATTGTACATAAATAATCTCCGCTTGACGTTTTGGGTGTTTCTAAGCTTGAAGTTGGTCTAAAAATAAGCATATTGAAGTCTAACAATGATCTTGGTGAAGTTTGAAAAATTCCAAAAATTTGAAATTTGCGCGGGTACCCGCGCAGTGGTTGCACGACCGACCCCCAGCCGCGCAGATTCCGAGTTCCGAATTACCCCAACATGAGGTGCTCTCTGATTGTTGCGCGCGACCTGATCCTACCCTCGCAGCTCATTGCGTGGCCAAGACAAAAATTGCACCTCCCTTGCGCGACCAACCAATATTACCCACAACTTAACCGCCCCACCCGGTAACCCGCTCCAAGCCCGATCCATACCTGGAACCGACCCACTTTTCGACCCGATAACCCGACCCATTTACAACCCACCCTTATAACTCCTTAACCCGTCGGACCCCCTTCCCCCCTTATGCCTACCGTCAACAAACCCCCTCCCTTATTCCTCCCGTCTGCGGTGAACCACCAACGCCCCCATTACTCCTCCAGCCGACGAAAGCTGCCGATCCCGACTAGTCACCGACGTCCATCCACTCCGTCGTCACCACCGGTTGGCGCGGTCCACTCGTAGCCGTCGTCTGTCACAGCCAGCAGCCCCATCTAGCACTCCTTCGCTCGCTGGAAAAACGCGCATCACAATTACCGCCTCACCGCCTGTTGTTACCGCCGGCGCTCCCTCCCCACCCTAATCCCCACTTAATTCCGACCATTCCCCACCCATTTATCCACTGGTAAACTGCAAGAAGCCACCACCCTCTAACTCGCCGGAAAATTGTTAAAACCCGATTTCGACGCCAATTCCCATCCAATTCCAAAATTTCTTGGGGCATTATTCACCAAACACTCTACCACACGCCGATCTACTGTTAATTCGGGAAAATCTCTTCACCGGAAAACCTAGCTCCGCCGCCGGCCGCCGTTACTAATTTTAACCAAAAATTTCAAATTTATTGTTTCTCATCGGAGATTCACAAGATTCATCCTTGCGGGTTCAATTCAAGCTTGGGGTGCGGTTTTTGAGGATTTATTTTTGGGTTTCGACACTCGATTTTTGGTACATTCCTTTTAATTCATTGCATTTCAATTCTAATTTAGATAAAATTATGTCGTGCATTATAGTAATTAGACTTGGTTTGCTTTTAATTATTGGATTATATTGTATTAAATCGAGCCAAATTGCAAGTTTGGAGTAATTGCCTGGTTTTTATTATTATTTAGATTGATTGGATTGGTGTGAGGTCGAGTGTGAGGGATAATTTTGCACAATTTTTTGGTCTTTGCTAGGTTATATTAACAGGTGCAATGAGAAAGAACAAAACCATTCACGCATCTCATGGATCTTCTCGTGAAGCTCAATCATCGCGTTCAACAAAAAAAGTATCTACCGAGCATGTTGATCGTGATGGTAACCTTGCCCTCACTAGTGCACAAATCAAGCAATTCAAGTCCAACCTCCAAAAACATGCGATCCTAAATTTTACCACCAAGAGTCTATGGTCAACCTTGATCTTGATGATTGCTTGCAACAACTGTTCTTCAACATAGGATGGCACGATTTCCTAGCTCTTTCCGCGCGCACATTCAAGCAACCCACACTTGAGTTCCTTTCCACTATTGCTCGAGACGACGCAGAGGAGGTGCTCACATTTAAACTCCAGGGTCGGCAGCATCGACTCACATACGACAACCTCAACACTATCATGGGCACATACGATATGCACAACACTGACATCTATAGTTATCAATGGACTCAATTCAAGAGCAGGCCAAAGGTAGAGTTTTGGACTCAAATCACTAGTCTTCCAAACTTCAATCCAAGCCGAAAAAAAGATCCTTACATCATCCATCCTTGTTGGAGAATCGCCCACCGAATCCTTTCAACCTCCATCTTTGGTCGTCACGAGCCGGGACAAATCAACACAGTCGAGATATATTTCCTCTATTGCATGACTAGCCGTCGTTGGTCTTGCCCTGGTTTCGCCACTTTTTTCTTGGACAAGTGTGACAGCATACGCACGAAGTCCACTGTTGACATTTGCATTGGAGGTCTCATTACCTTAATTGGTTTGGGTGTGGGCCTTCAATTTCTCGAGTCTGAGTATGTGCCCGTGGATGACCCACCTCTCTACCTTCTCGACTGCTTCGCTCTCGCCCGGATGGAGTTGTTAGTGCCTATCAACACTCGTCAGTACTCCTGGCTCAACCATGTCAAGCAACCAGATTATACCCTACCCAATATCAACATATCCGCCTTTTCCACCAGTGACCCCGAAACTTGGTTCTTGCCAGAAGAGTTACATGATGATGATGCTACAGAGGATAATGATGATATACAGGTTGACAATGCCAATGTTGATAGTCCATTTGAGGCTGAAGACCATTATGATCTCCTAATCCGACAATTTCCACCACCACCAGTTTATGGTCAGCCTTCGGGAGCACACTTTGAGCCACAACATGAGTACCAGTCTTATCTACAACATAACGAGCCCGATCTCGAGCCCGAGTTCCCTCTTGATATCTACAGTCAGCTTGCTGCCTTGCGCCTCCAGGGCAACCGGAACACAACATCCATTCGGCGCTTCGAGGAGCAGCAAGCCCGCACCAACAACTACATGGAGGAACTTTGGCATCATTTTCGGCCCGAAGGCGGTTACCGCCCTCATGGTCCTCCTCCACCTTGATCCCGGTACGATCTTTCCTTACTCTCATCCTAAGCATTGAGGACAATGCTTAATTTTAAGCTTGGGGTGAGGTATTTCTTATCTTTTATTTTTATTGCATTTAGGTTGTATATAGTTGCATTTAGAGTAAGTCATTTAGGTCATTCATAAAAATTGCATAAAAAATTCAAAAATATTGCATATTTTGTTTCTTTCTTTTCTAATTTTCATACTTTTTAGATGCATTCTAGTTTAAGTTCATGCATTTTTGTTCTCTCTTGTATTCTCATCCCTACATGTACCATAGCGCCGAGTCATAAGTATTGAATCATAGATTGGTCCCGGGTCTTGATATGGAATTCCTTGTATTTGACAAATGGGACACGTTTTGGGCCTCACAGACCATTTTGAGACCGCTTGTGTGGGGGTCTGATGCAGGTAGCTTGATTGGGTCTAGGTGCGGAGGGATGTGGTTGGTCAAACCGATGTGTACGAGCAAAGACTAGCCCGGTATGGTATTTTGAAGACATTGAAGATACTGAAGATTTGCATCTTGGTTTTGGGGGGAGTACCCCTCAGTACTCCCGAGTCTCGTCCGAGCCTTACTTAGTTAGATTCTCACCACCTTTTTAAGATAGGTTATCATCTTTTCTAGGGTTCTAGAGTAGATAGTTAGGTAGATTTTCTTTATCACACCTTGCATTGAGGTGCTTGATGAACTTTGAAGTGGGTCCCCCAATTCACATCTTTTGGGACCAAGTATTTTTTGGTAACACCCATTTTTGAGTCATTTCCCACCCTTTTTAGTTTATCTTGGCACATTTTCAATGATCATTAGGTGTTCATGTTAGCCTCCATCCTATGTTACGTGGTGAAATTCCTTAGACCTTCAAAGAAGAAAGATAAGAAGAAAACACACAAAAAAAATGAAGAAATTGGAAAAGTGAAGACAAAAAGAAACAATGAAGAAGATTAAAGAAAAGCAACAAAAAAAAGAAGAGAAGAAAGAAAGAAAAAGAAGAAGACTGACTGCCAAGCAGCAAAGAGATTGAAGACCAAATAACAGAAGATCAAGATTGAAAATTTGAGTTGTTAGGTTTAGATTTAAGTTAAATAGAATTTTTCTTTATTTTATTTTATTTTTGTTTTTTTATGAGAAAAGACCATGACGATGAGACGGTAGATTGTAAAGGACAATACAAGAGAGAAGCCTCTAAAACCAGATGTTTGCCCGGAGGCCGCACTGCAAAACCCTATTTCGTTATTATACACTTTAGCCTGACAAATGTAGGAATCATAATGTGTGAAGATGCGCCTTTCCTTCATGCATTATGGTCTGCATTGGTGATTTAAAGTGCCCCCACTAGGCGCATCTCTGTTTCCTTTGTCTTGCACACCGCGACTACATCCAACCGTGATCTATTGCCCATCAAGTTGTTAAGAATGTGGTTTATGGCTCTAAAGCGGGGAATATTTTGAAGATGCATAGGGTCCGTGAAAGACTAATTATGACCATGCTGACTGATGTTGACCAAGTTCTATGGTATCTTTCTTTTTCCTTTTTAGTTTAGTTCATTCTGAGCTCATTTTAGTCTTGTTCTAACTTGAGGACAAGTTAGGTTTAAGCTTGGGGTGATTTGATAGTTTATTTTATTTCTTTCTTTTTATTAGTTTATTTTTAGATTTTTATCTCTTTTTATTAGTTTTGCATTGTATTTTATTTATTTTCTTTTTCATGGATCGTATCGGGGACTTTTTATTTTGCATGAGATAATTTGTAGGGTTTTGGAGCTCATTGCGGTTGCGGTTTGACTGGAGTTGGGCTTAGTGGGCTTTTCGATGCGTTATTGGGCTTGACGGATCCACCAAAGGAGATTTGGACTTAAAAAGCTAAAGGCTTGGATGAAGTGGGCTTGTGAAGATGGATCATGGATTGTTAATTTGGGCTTGGAGCATCCATATTTGAAGCTAAAAGGTGATTGGTCAAATTCAAATCATGTGAGTCATGGAGGGGACCAAGGGAATCTTTGGTAGTGGGATGGTTAGTGGAGGAGAATGGACAAATAGCAGCCCTACAACACTTGCGCGGGTGGAATCTCCATCCCGGGGGTAGCCGCGCAACTGCCCAGTTTTGGGCATTTTGGTCATTTGGCACACCATTACCTTGGGGGATTGGATCTATCAACTATCACTTCGATTTTACACCATTGGAGACCAGAAGAAGGCGATTTTGGAGCTCAAGACTCATTTCTTTTCATCTTTCCAAGCTTTTGGTAGTTTCTTTATACAATTAGACTTTTGTGATTGTCATTTTGTTGCCATGAGTGGCTAATTTCTCTTTATTGGTTAACTTTGGTTAGACCCTTTGAATGTTTGTGGGTTTTTGAAGGATTCATGCTTGATCATCAATTATCTTATGTTTATGGTTCTAGATCATATTTCTTATGCTTGTTTAATGCTTTGATCACGAGCTTGACACTTGAATGAGCTATTGTTAGTTTATTTCTTTGGTTTTGCATTGAATCATTGAATTAACTTATAACAAGGGCTTTATGATGGTAAAAATCATCTCTAGCTTATGGATCATAGCTCCTTTATGGATGTGTAAGCATTGACATCCTCTAGGAATTGGGGATTCCTTCTTTCTTAAGGCTAATCAATTTCTTGGGTTCAATTGCTTCAATTCAATCCTTGATTTTGATTAAGAAGGTGTGTTGTGGGCTTCCCCAACCTCCATACTACCTAAGAGGAATCTTGGCATATCATGCTTCATGATTGCTATAACTAATTTGGGATGAATGATAAGCTTCATGTTGAATCCTAATGATAAACACAGAAATGTTCATTGTGTTGAATTGCCTTGGTTAACCAATTATCTCCAACATTTGAGCATCTCATCATCTTGCTTAATTGCAAGCTTTTTAGTTATTCAAGTCTTTTAGTTTTCAAGCAATCAAACACCCCCCCCCCCCTTTTAGTTTAATTGTTGTTAGTTGGTTTCTTTACACTAGTTCTATTAGATTGCATTGCCGATTGAATACAACCATTTCCCCGAGGATCGATACCCCATTTTACCATTATATTACGTTTTATTTGCAAACAAAGGGTGTAATTTGCTTGGTGTACTTGACATCCCACCATTAATCCATTAAGTCCAAGCACCCAACTTTCTGATCTTAGTCAACATTATGTTTAAATGGATAAAGTTTCCGAATTCTCCAATAATAATGCGACAAACTTCCCAGATCTAAAACCCTAAACTAAGAAATGTCTAAAAACCCACTTTCTTCATTCATGGAGTACGGAGAGTTCTTTCATACACTCATTACTCCACCAAATCACTAGATTTTAACTTAAAACATGAACCAAAGCTCATGGAGTTCTTCAAAATCCATGGAACAAGTCATAAATGTACCAAAACTCATAAAAATGGACAAAAACACCAAATACTCATAGATCTAATGATGAAAAACAATAAAGCAAAGATCTTTGCAATTCACAAGGGTCGAGAAGGTAGATGAACATTGATCTCTTCAGTTGAAAAGATTCAAAAAACAGTCTTTGAAGAAAACAACACCTAAAAGCCATAAAAACTTAACAATATAGATGAGATGAGAGATGATGAGCTTGATCTATGAAGGGAGGCTAGGGTTTCCTAGAAAGAGGGGTTCTTGATGCAATGAAGGCAGAAAAATGACCTAAAACAAGGGGTTGAAGCCTTTAAATATAAACCCAGCCGTAATTTAATGGGCTTGGGATGTACAGCTCACCACTTTGTGGTAAATTCCTTACTAGGCCATGGTGATGGGTTTTTGCCCAAACCCATTACAGCTTCAAACAATCATAACATCTCTGTTTCAACCTTGTTTTCAGTGATCTTTATATGCATGCGAATGTATTGACAAGCCCCACAATTCTATCTAATTACTTTTGAATTAAAACATACCAAACTAAATTTATTAATTCATTCAAGAATTTTGAAATATCACTTTTCCTATTTTAACCTTTGGCTCCAAAGTGCAATTCAAGGGCTTAAATGACTTAACCAACATTATCAACATCTAATAGGGTCTAAAGCTTATTCCGTTGAAGCCTAAAATCTTTATTTGATTAAATTACGACCTGCTACCCCGAAATCAGAAACATCCTGAAATTGGATGTTACATATAATTATTTATTAATTTATTAATTTATTTTTCCAAATAGGTTCAAAAACTTTCACCTAATAAAAAGCATTAATATGCATTTCCTTTCAAAAGTTTTTTTATCTATAAAATATTAAACTATAATATATCCTCTTAGTAGTTGTTTATAAATATTAAATCACAAATAAATAATTTGATTTTGCTTCTTATGTAAATTGGGTAATATTATAATTATATGTCATCTTAAAACTATCTTGAAAACTGAATTATACAAACTGATCCAACCAAATTGTAATTGGATCGGATCAGATCGAATTTGAATTTAGTTTGGACTAATCAGTTCCAGGTTTTTAACCGAAGTCAATTTGGATTCATTAGATTGGATCATATCAAACTGATCCATCTAGACGAACACCCCTACATGGAAGATAATCATAAAAGAAAGTGGGTTGAATCTGTGGAAGATGAGAGGAATTCCTTGAATGAAAAAATACCTCTAAGTTGGTAAAGTTGCCTAAAGGAAAGAAAGCTATGAAGAACAAATGGGTTTAAAAAGTAAAGACTGAAGAAAATGACTCACAACTTAGGTACAAGGCTAAATTGGTGGTAAAAGGGTTCAATCAAAGAAAGGGTTTTGATTTTGATGAGATTTTCTCTCTAGCGTGAAGATGGGTTCCATTAAGATGATTCCTAGTTTAGCTGCTAGCACAGATCTTGAGGTTGAGTAGATGGATGTTAAGATGACTTTCCTGCATAGTAAATTAGACAATGAAGTCTATATAGAGAAACCTAATGGTTTTCAGGTTAAGGAAAAAGAAGAGTATGTTTGTTAACCTCATAAAAGTCTTTGTGGGTTGTAGCAAGCACCAAGATAGT